CATTAAGAGATGCATAGTAAATTCAACTGGGCTCACCCTTTTTAGGCATCTGAGAAGGTGTGAAGAAATAAAATATACTCTTCGTCAGTTCTACACATCATCATCTCTCAGCAAAGCCTGCAGGTGTGCCCGGGGATGAGCAGGATTCATGTGCATTGATGTGTTGGCAGTCTGCGTCTGCACTGTCTGCTCTGGCACCCCAGCCTAGGAGAGAGCACGGCTCAAGGAGCAGGACCAGACAGACGTTTTGCGGGTAATAAAAACTGCAAACTCACGTTTGGTGCTCCAGACTCACCAATGGACTAATTAGAATGCCCTAATTAGAAGGGAGTAAACTATTTTTATGAGTTTGCCACTAAGTGCACTGCTGGGCACAGCTCCCCCACGGCACAGGAGCTGGAAGCAGCGCAGGTGCCTGCAGGCAAGGCCTGCAATGCCTCGCGCTCCTGCCCTGCCTGCTCCTGCCCCAAGTTGTGTGCGGGCAGGTACGCATGGGAGCGGTGCACGGGTGCTGCAGAAGAGCCACCCAAAAACCCTGGGGCTCCCGTGTCGTGCTGGGAGCCAGCAGGGACCCCTGGGCGTACCCCTCACTCTTGTACCTGTGTCATTGCTCTTCATCATACAGCATATGATGACATGACCACAAACAACAGTCTGAGGGTTTTATTAACAAGTATAATACATATGCATTGTATACTAAATATAGTACGAGGACTGTACAGTACAAATTTATGTTCACAGCTTGACATGACAAAATGTCATTACTGAATTCCCGTTGGACTACCAAAGTAGAAACAGTGAAAGTACATTAAACATTCACATCTTTAGTAAGAAAAGATTACCAAAATGTCTCCATATTTGCAAGTTATACTAATGCACGCTAGAAACCTTTAATTACCCATTCAGTCTTATTAGCTTATAAAATATATTACATTTTATTAAAAAATTTCTGCATAGTTTATACATGTATTAAAGTAAATATAACATCCTTGCTATATTTGCAGGTGAGAGATGCTAAGCAGAAAGATTATTGTGACCGTCTAATATTTAAAGTACTTTAAAAAAAGTGCTAATATCTGTAAAATATAATGAAAACTGATGTAGCCCTCAAGATATGTAACATGCTTTGTAATGTTTTATGGAAAGGATTTGTATTCATCTACATGTTGCCAACCTGGACAGAGACAACAACATATTTGGACAAGATGTGGCATTAGAACCATTGCTGCAGAATGACTGTGGATATTTAAATAAACCCACACAGGGTAATACCTGATTAGCTTGTTGCAATTGTCTTAGAAACTAGTAATTTATTATAATCAAATGGCATAAACAGGCACATTTTAGTAAAACAGTATTACCTGTTACACACTGCACAGTGCAATACTGCTAGGGAAAAAGGTGCGTTTTTTAAATACACACATTCTGCGGGATTAGGGTGTTCTTTCTTTATATCTAAACTGGCTTCTCTTTAGGGCACAGATGGAAGGACTGGCTTTAAAAAGTATGTAGTTGTGTATATTTAAAAATTACGAGATACCCCTCAAATCAAAGTGAAAAAAATGAATCAATGAGCCAGTTAAGATGTAAATTCACATTTTCAGCTGAAAGATGAAAGCGTATTTGTGACTTTTTTGACATTCCACAAAAAGACACCACACACACAAGTGAAAAAATCCTAGAAGCAAGGCATTTACATGAAATAATCTCAAATATTTATATTTAATATTTAAATTTCTGTTGTCCTAAATCACAAGGCACATGTATAAAGATTTAAAGTTCAGTTGAATCTCCACTGTATTTGTCCCCACCATTAGCATAAATACTTTCAGGAAAAAGGTACATAAGCAAATGAATGAACAAGGCAAACAACCTAGATTAAATTGCCCAAAGTAACTCAGTTACAAAGTTCTGCTTTTAGGGTACTTGATTTTAGATTTCTAATTTGAGAGAAAGAAGAAAGAAAAGAAAAGAAAAGAAAAGAAAAGAAAAGAAAAGAAAAGAAAAGAAAAGAAAAGAAAAGAAAAGATACAAAGTTCTGCTTTTAGGGTACTTGATTTTAGATTTCTAATTTGAGAGAAAGAAGAAAGAAAAGAAAAGAAAAGAAAAGAAAAGAAAAGAAAAGAAAAGAAAAGAGAAAAGAAAAAAGAAAAAAGAAAAGAGAAAAGAAAAGAGAGAAAAGAAAGAAAGAAAGAAAAAGAAAAGATGAAATATGAAAGAAAATATTTTGTGAAAGCCTTAAAAGAAAAATAGAGCATTGGAGAGAAATGCTCCTTAAACATGCCAAATTTTATGCATTTGGATTTGTTAAGCTAAAAAAATGGGACCAGTTGCCATTAATCTGCTTTTTTCCCTAGAATAGAATCTTGGTTTTCATCCCAGGATACTAGATGTCCGTAGACTCGTGGCTGATGCTACAGGGGCTCCTCTCAGCCCCAGTCAGCGATGCGTCTGCATTTGTGGAACTGCCACCAAAACCTGGAGCCTAAGGAGGCCAATTCTGCTACCACCGACAATAAAAATACCCAACAAAACCCCCCATTCTACAACAGCTGCTCATTAATATCATTCTCTTCCCTGCAAGTTCCTCAATGTTAGTAACTATCTGGCCTACCAAAAAAAAAAAAGACTAATTCATCTCCCAGGCTTTTTTAGCTCATGAGGGCCGGTTACAAGAAGATAGGTCTGGCCTAACTTCCCTCAGGCCTAGCGAAGTGGTGAGGATGTATGGTGCCATGACAGAGCATACACATCTTCCTTGCAAAAGCTTTGCAGCCGATGTTCCCAGCCCTGCTTTGCAAATCCCTGTTCTCCCCTACATAGAGCACACATTCAGGGCTCGACTCCTTAAATAAAATTGCCAGTTCCATATTCCCATGTGAGATTTGTTGAACAACGCAACAATACTTCCTATTTCACAGCAATCGCTGTAGGAGTGTTTTTCTCCAGAAGTACATATCCTCTCCTCCTCTAATTCTATGGGCATGTAGGCATCAGCAGAACAGCTGGTAAAGTCCTATCGCCAAGGGAAGGCTCTTTGTGCTCAAACTCCTGCCTCTGCAGGATTCCTCGTTTGCTGTTGGACTCCACAGGATGCAGCAGCACAGCCTACCTGCTCCATGAGCTCAAATATACCAACGTGCTGGCGGACGCTCCGCCTGCCTCCTCCTGGAGAGTTTTATGAAACTCCTTCTCCCCTCGCCCCTCTGTTTTCCAGTGGGTTTTTCCAAAAGAAATGAAAATCTGACTTTGGTATGTTTAATTTGCAGGGAATGGTGTTTACCTTAGGTAGGGGAAAGAAGAAAAACCCACTGATGCATGACAGACTGGAGAAATACATCCTGTTCCCATGCGGTGCCACAACTAATAAAGGCAGAAACCTTCCTTTCAGTGGGCTTCCACATACAGGAACATTTCTAGGGTCAACTGCAGGTTGCTTGAATTCAGTTTTTCTATCAAGTTGTGCTTGCTAACTGACATGGGAGTTATGACTTGCTGATGGGATATTTTAAGGCAATAGCCACAAGCACAGGAAAGCTTCATCTACCTACCATTGAGACTACCAGAGTCACAGATCAGAGTTATCAAATGGCTGATTTGGTACGCATTTTTATCCAGAATGGATACATGACTCAATTTATCATCAGAAGTGCTTCGTATCTGATGCCATCTTCTCATAAAAATATTATGGATTAGTAATTTTAAATACTGTATTGAAGTGGCACTCACAACAATACAGTTTGGAACATTTTTGATGTAATGCTATTTTCTGAGGTACAGCAAAAAGAAAAAATTATTTAGAGGAAATGTAAAGGGGTGATTGTAGAGGGATAGCCTAGATCCCTGAAATGAGGTGTGGTAGTTTTCTATGAATATCATTTAATGCCATGTCACAGGAGAGTACCGTGTGTGTTCCATTCATACACTTGCACAGAAACCAGACATACAGTGTCACACAAGGTCTTCATTTACCAAATCCACCAGGGCATTATGCAATAAAAACAAGGATATGTACTACACTATAATACAGAAGACAGATGACATTGGTTTAGATGCACACTATTATGTATGGAACAATTCTTGCCAATTTTTCTTCTTGACTGGGGTAAACGATACTATGATTTAATCTTTCTGTGAAGTAATTATATTGCTTAGATTTATTTCTACAGTGTTATTCATTGTTTAGGCAGAGGGGATTTCTAAATCAGATGTCTTTCTAAAACTGTTGCATTAACCATATTGCAGAAATCAATGTGGTTGGGAAGAGTCCATTCATTGCATTGTGGAGAAGAAAATAAGAGCATATACCTTACAGGGCACATAAATAAAAGTCTCTGGCAAGGACTAGCATTTTGGGTATTCAATAACATTTACTACTTTATCAGTATATGCTGGGTTGATTATATGAAGAAACCAACAAAAGGTGTTAGTTTACAAATTCCCTTATTCACAATGGATACATTAAACATACTGTCTGCAGAAAGGGTTTGCTTAGCATCCCCAGGAGAAAGAAAAAAAAAAAAGTGTTCACATTCTTTAGGTCTGACCCGTGGCAAGGACACAGAAGGGTTAGATAACATCTGTTACTGACCATATGTAAGCTTTTAATGGTATAAACTCAAGAGATTCAGACCAGCTGAATCCAAATTAAAATGCATGTGTAAAAAAAAAAAGAAAAAAAAAAGTGTGACAGGAGTCAGGGACAGAAGACATTCAGACTAGCATGTGGCGTTTTCTGTGAAGGGCAAGATGGTCCGAACGTGAAAAGCTACGGTCACAGTCTGGGCACTGAAAAGGTTTGATTCCTGTATGCTTGCGGAAATGCCGTGTTAGTTCATCAGAACGAGCAAACTTCCACGTGCATCCCTCCCAAGTGCATTTGTATGGTTTTTCACCTGGAGAAAGAAACACAGAAGTGGGGATTTAAGACATGAACGCATCGGTTAAATATTCAACAGATTTATCCTCTTGCCTTGTCAAATTTCAGCAAGTACTTTAATGCTTCCTCAAAAAGCCTCCAAACAGCACTGGGCTGCAGAGTACTCTGCACTAGAAACTGTGTAGACGAAGTTAACAGATCAAAAATTTGTTTCCTGCCACAACTTATTTTTTATTGTCTCTCTCTTCCTCCCTCTGCCATATTAGCACTTGTTTTGTCTCATCAAACCCAGAAGTGTGAAGGTTTAAGCATTTGTTCAATATTTTCAAAACCAGGACCTCATATTCGATATTAGTTGGGGGAAAGGACTGGTGCTACCATTCAGCACAGCAGGCAGAAATCTTAAAGTTACAGTAGTATAAGTAACTGGCACCACTGTCACAAGTAGCTCAACTTAAAATCTCTCCCGATCATTACTTTCTAATACATGATTCTTCTCCTTCTTAACACCACTGTGCTGCCCAACAGGTAAAGGGCTGGATTGGTGTAAGACAGACATGAGCTGGCCTCCATTTTACCTAGAAGCGTCCCATTATGTTTGTAAAAACCATGGATCTACGTACATTCATTCAGCATGCCATGATGAACAGGGATGGGGATATGCTTATTGGAACACTTGCTCAGAAAAGAGCACTATCAGACCAGTGGTTAGCATGTCCACATGAAGCAGATGTGTTTGTATTTAGCACACAGTCCAGACTTTTGTAAATGGGCTACTCCCATGGAAGTCTCAGTCAAATTTAAGTGATGTAAGAGGTGAGGTAGTGCAATTTGGTGTTTACTGGGTGTATAGAATGAGTAATCTCCAAGGAACTGGACAGAAAACGAGCACAGAGCCAGTGAATGTAAAGCATACCAGCACACACCGTGATCCTGCTTTGGTTTACAGTCTCCTGTTGTGGGTTTTTCCTGCTTTTGCTCAGCCTATATTCAGAACGATGCCAGATTTAACTTCTGTTGTTTTGTTATCTACACCTGTGGTCACCTGGCCATTAGCACAAACTAAAAGCTTAGTCTTCTATTTTACCATAGACTTGATGAAAGAAAAGCACAGTGATGCTCAAACCTGTATGGGTTCTTCTGTGAGCTTTCAGATGGGAGCTTTTAGTGTAGACTTTGTTGCAGCCTTCATAATCACATCGATGTATTCTGCGTTTTCTTTGTGTGTCTGGAGATTCCACAGGTAAAGGTCTCTTTCCTGGCTGAACTATAACTGAAGGGTGATTCCTGCAAAGTCAAATTGAATGTTAAAAATGAAAAGCATTTAGCACAGCAAACCTCAGCTAATATGATTCATGACAGAGCCCTTCATTCACTACCACTCTGTCTCTTGGCAGAAAGAACAACATTACATGCGTGTCGAAAAATTCAAGAGGGTTTAGCAAATTTTGTGTATTCTAGCAGTAATATTTTTAAGTGTTTGCTCACTTTGTGGCATGACGTAGCCATTTTTACTACTCCCTAGCTTTTTTTAAACTTAGAAAGTCCGAATTCCTGTTTTTCAGTCAAACCCAGATTTCTCAAACTCCGAGTTCATTGTGAACTTTTTTCTTCTTCAAATGTAACAAATTTGCTTGTAATTGGAAACAGCTATTCCATATTATTACAGAAATTGTATCTTTAGGTTTTCAAAGCAGAACTCAATCTTGATTGTTCCAGCCACTCCTTTAGAGAGTAATTAAGAATTTCCTGTTTGGTGCTGGCAGGAGGGTGCGGCCTCCCTATACCACTGACGTCAATTCCTAAAAGTAGAGCTAAGCCTGTGTGGCACACCCACAGGATGTCTGAAGTTGTCCCTCCACCTTCATAAACATCATTTTTGGCTTTTGAAGCCCACAGGTACAGTGCAGGTAAGACATGTGGTAACTACATATGGACTTCTGTAACAAACAAAAACATAAACATTTGTGCACGTGAAAACACATCGAGCATCTGAAAGGGTGTCACTGACTGTGGATATTTAGGTTTGAACAACACCCCTGCTGTAGAATTCAGGACAACCTTGAGTCTTTCTTCCATGTTAGTGTTAGAAAAGGAAATAAGTTTGTTCATCAAAAAGGTAATTGGCATTACCAATTCTGCAACCTCAAGCATGAAATTGCATTTTTCAACCCGTTAGCAGATCTGTATCATTGCTTTTAATATATTTTTAGCTTTTAACTGAAAGTTAGTAGATAATCTGCAGTTATTAGCATTCCTTGCGGGAAGACCAGCTCCTCCATGTGACAGAAGTAAGCTTTCTAGAACTCCTGTCTTTTCTCTGTATTTCACATTTCTTTACTGATCGAATTATGTTTTATAACACTAGATTGTATTAGTTACTTAAACCAAGTTCCTTTAGGGCCTACTTTTCAGAAACACTGAATAACTACTTCCCTCAGCAAAATAAAGGGCAGAAAAGACAGAACATTTTCTAAGACAGAAAATCTTGTGCGTGGTTTAACAAGAAAAAAAACTTTCTATTACTGTCCACAGCAGCAGCATGGGAATTACCAATGTGGGAAAAGTTTAATTCTGTTACTAATTCTTTTATTAGAGGTACAAGCTTGAAATTTGGAGCCAAATTCTCTGTCTTGGGTGTTTCTGTGACTGTTGAGTGATGTATGCTTCAGGTTCAAGTACACATTACATCTACTTAAAAATATTCTAACAGCAGGAAATCCCAGAGGGTGGTGTTAGGCACAGGTGTACATACTCTTAAACAAGAAAGGCAGGCTTTTAGCTTCCAAAGAAATGCTTCTCTAAAGCAATGCTCAGTTTTAACGGTGTTGCATACTAGTCGTTTTGGAGAAGCTCTGGCTTAGGAAAGTAAGCAAGCTTGCTTTAAATCCCTATGTGTGGAGGCTAGTCCTGGACAGAGTAATACCCGGAAAAGGGGAGAAAAAGGATATTGGCTGTACACTGTTTGTGATGGTTTTCAATCTAAGAGCGTGTAAAATAAAGCACTGTCTCTGTCTCATTTTCCATTTAGAGGAAAGGAGGCTGGCAAGACTACAGAATGTTATCAATAATCAGATGGGGTGTGGCAGTTTAAAAAAATGGTTAAGGCGGCGTCAAAAATCAGCGGTAAATATTAAGTGCCAACAATAAAAGCACAGCCCTAATTCCTTCATTCACTCTTACACAACCAGATACAAATTCACTTACATCTAATCATTCAAGTGTCATTCTTTAATAGATAAGACTATCTTCCAAAAATCATGTTACAATTTCAACAGCTTTTTCTTCATCAACAGACCACAGTATGCTGACAGCATGAGTTAGACTTTGACACTTACAAGAAAATACAATGTTAATTAGGCTTCTTATATTTGGTCAGAGATTATTACCTTAAGTTTGACTTTAGAAATAACTGTATAGTTATGTCAATTATCAGACACACTAGAAAATCCATCGATCCCTACAGAAATGCCACCAACATTTTATATATGTATAATGTGTCTGCCAAAACCTAACACTAAAGCACAATCAGTCACTTAAAAGTGAGATTGAAGGTTTCCTATGCCCCTTTAATAGCTTATGTGTCTGAATAGTGCACTTTGGGCAGTTGGAATCTATGAAAAATGATAAAAAATCATTGCCTAACTGTAGCTCATAATACAGAGAGGCTGATGAAGCCGTGAGACAACAGGAAAATTTATAAAGGTCTAAGTGTCTCATCTTGTAACTTGTGTGATTTGTCTATGTATTTTTTTTAAATGATAAAAAGATAACTACGATTTACAAACTTCTAGTTGTGCATACAGCAGAATGCGAACTGGAAAGGGCTGGCTTCAGGAACGGGCAAGAACTGCAGCTCTACAGGAAGCAATTTAAGCCATTACAGTGTGAGGACAGGGTCGCCGTAAACATAATGCTCTGCATGGGCAAGCAGAGAAGATGCTTTGGAAACATGGACTCTTCAAGTAATTCTTCTAACACTACATACATGTTATACCAAATTTTATATTCTTTGCTCAGCAGATGGGTTTCCTGCGGAAACTGGACTCATTGGGAAATAATTAATGCAAATCCCTAACGCAGGTGACAAGTCTGCAGAAGTCTCAGCCCTGGAGGAAGGGTGTGGTATTGGCCAGGAACAGCACATACTGGTTTGCTCTTGTTAGAGGCCTAACAAAGAACAAAAGTAAACTGAACCGTTTGACAGTCCTGACCTAGCAGAAGTTAGTTCCAAGTACGTACAGGCCTGACTCCCTTGTATGGCAGGTTCATTATGGAAGATAAGTAACCACCTAATAAACATGGATGTTTATTATTTTATTATGTTTATTATAATAAAACATATAAGGTTATTTTTAAATAAACAGCGTATAGTTTATAAAAGCTAGCTGGCAACTAGTTAATTGCAAAGAGCCTGCAGCCTAGAAACTGCATCTAAGCTGGTTAAAGACTTGAAAACAAGGAGGGGTGCCCACAAGAAGGCTGTGCAGAATGCAGCTAGCCCTGAAGCCACAGTGCCTTCTAACCTGGGAACGGTCATAAGCAGGAGGAAGAGGCTGCCTTCTGAAGAAATTGCAGAAGACCGCTTGTCCCACGCTTTCTCTCTCTTTCTGCGTAACCCCGCACTCACACACTGGTGTTAGGAGTCTGGCTTGGAGCATTTTTTCCCCACTCTAGGAGGTGAGGTCTTGTACAACCACTCCGAGGGCAACAGTGGGCAGGAAGAAAGGGCAGAAATGGATTCCAGGTCACGTACCATAAGCCCAGCTCAGTTCCTAACTTGAGCTCCTGCCAGAGCCGTGCCGGCAGCCTGCATGCCTGCCCAGACCACTGCCTGCTGAAGGATGAGCTGGGCTCTGGGCCATTCCATCATTTTGCTAAGTCGACAGAATTTTCCCTAGGAAAATGGGACATGGAAGGGTGCCCATGGCTCCTCAGGTACTTCCTGAGAAATTTTTAATATTTTCCATTAAAAAGTTTCTGCCCCAGACCTTACTTTGTCTTTCTAGCCCTTGCTCTGCCTTCTGCAAACAGGACTGTTTGAAACCCACGTAGATCTATGATCCGGTTCATGCACTGGCCCCCGTAACAGTTGCACAATGAGTTGGTACTGGGGTGGAAACAAGTGGCTGGAAGGAAAGTGAGCTTCAGGAACTACTTGAGCTGCCAAAAAAACCCACCCACGGAACAATGGCCTTAGGTAAACATGGAATTTCAGTGGATATATACAAAACTTGTAGGCCTGAGGTTTTTTCCACCAAGTAGCCATAATTTTTTAAAAGACAAAGAGGTCCTCCAAGAAAAGACAGTTCCAAGAATCTTTTTAAAGAAAGGTATTTTAGGTAACATGAATACAGAGATCACTATGAAGTGTCTTTACAGTATCTTTCCAGTTTGCGGCTGGTTTTACATGAACAGGTGTCACTGGCTTACTGGGAGTCCTGCTTTCAGTAAACTGTAGGACTGGGACTAGCATTACCTTAGAAATGCATTATATAAATGGCAGATCTATGTGTTTGCAATGTATAAATACTTACCAACTCCTGTATTGCTAAGGGGGGGGGGAAGTTGAAATCACATTTCACAGTGGCAGTGGAGGGGAAGGATGTTTTTCTCTATTTTATCACGTTCTAAAGCACAGCAACACTCCCTCCTGATCCTCAAAATTGGTAACTACTGCAATTAACTGCTTTTCATTCTTCTGCTGATCTTGGGACCACTGTAAGCTACTTACTCTTGCAACATTACTTGCTGGGGAGACAATGAGGTCATCATTGGAGGTGATATTTGCTCAGGATAGAAGTCAGTCTTTGATGGTTCACTCCCTGGCTCTACTTTGATTGCTTTCTTCAGTGGGGGCTTCTCATAAGACTCAATGACAGGCACTGTATAGGGGAGGGTAGGAGAGGGAAGGCAACACATCAAAAATATGGAGTGTTATGAAAACAAAAAAAATATGTAAAAATCTAGAGTTAAAACAAAAGAAATTCCCCAGCTCTACATTTAGTGCAACAATTTATGCTAAAATACAAAATCTTCCAGTTTTAGTCTGCCTCCTGGTGAACTATGATTCAAAACAATTCTATCCATTTTCGTCAGTACATTTTTATCAGTCCAAATCTCAGTAGATAAACAGCTTTATGCAGGTATAAATCAGAACAGAATGCGACCTTGGTAAGTTTGGTAAAATATTTACACAGTAAATTCCATGCCTGCATATTTTAGAAGAATTATGTTCCATTTCCTACAATGCAAAAAACACACAAAAAAGTGCTTGGATATACAGCTATTTTCTCAGGATGAGACAGCATAAAAAACTCTGACACCACCAACCTTGCATGCTACTTGGAGTTTCCATCTCATCTGCAAGAACTGTGGACACCATGATGGGCTGCTGAAGATGGGGAGCATACATAAAAGGAACCGGCTGGACCACAACAGGCTGTATAACCGGAAGTATTCCAGGGCTTCTCAGTCCGTGGCGTGAAAGAGCAGCGGCCATTACAGGTGGGATTGTTATTGGCATGGAAATAGGCTGTACTCCTGGGGGTGATGGTGTGAATTTACTGAGAGGTGAGCTGGGTGAGGACAGAGTCAATCCAGGTGAAGTTCTCCTATGCACAGTCTGAAATTTTAGGGGGGAAGGAGAACTTCCAGTTGAAGGTGGTGAGCTCCGTTTGTTCACTGTAAGGTCTACTGGCTCCATTTGGATTCCATTTGATAGTCCTTCGGGGTTTGAGTAGAACTTGTTGTGCAACATACTTGGTGTAGAATAAATGACGCTGTATTTGTTTGGCTTCATTTGGTCCATGTAGTTGGACGGGTATGACTGTCCGAAGGAATGAAAAAAAAATAAAGAAAATCAAATAATAAGTCAACACACACACAATTACTGCTGAAAAAGAAAAGTGGCTAATAAAACTGAGGCAAAATGAAAAAGTTTCAAGAAAGGACTTTAATGTGCTTTCTAAATAAAAGTGAATTAAATAAAGCCTAAGATTTCACAAAAAGGAAGTTATTCAAGTATTGATTCGCTAACTGTTTCAGAAGAAATGTAAAACAGGTGATGAAAAGAAATCCTCAAGGCTTATTCAACTCTTTTTCTCCCTTAAAAACTGCTGTTCATACACTAAGCTGCACATTACTTAGCTGATCTGGGAGATACATGGTGCTATGCCCAGGATACAACTGTAAACTGAGGAACATGAAGTCAAGCAAGAGGGGAGTTAAATTGGACTTAGATTGCAAGTAATGCGTCCCAATCAATTGCTTAAGTAACTGGAAAACAATCACCACTAAAGCAAGAAATTATGTATCTGAACCCTACAAGCAATAAAAGAGACAGCTAAACTATATAGGCAACAGGTGAGAAACTCAAGAGTGCAAAGGGTAAATTCTAAACACTTTTTTTTTTTTTTTAGAAATAAAGTAGCTAAGTAGACAGTCTGATTTTGGAAAACTAGTACAAGGATAAACATTTGGCCTGTTGGAAGAATATTCCTGTTAGTGGTAGCTAGCAGTTCTTATTTCAAGATCACATAAACCCCAAAGCTAATCTTGGCTATGTGACGATCTCCACATTGTAGTGGAAATATTTTTTGTAAACCAAGAAGTATTAACATTCATTGCAGAGTATAGTATAATTGAAGAACTATCCAGATCAATTTTGCATTTAAAAAGTTTTGAAAACTAAGGTTGTTTACTAACAGATAACTTAAAATGGAAACTGATGTGATGTTCTAACATAGCAGAAAACCACAGAAAATGCAATCCACACAGTTTTTTAGCCCTTAGGTGTTGTAAATGTTTTGAAATAAAATGCTATCTTTGGATTCTAGGTAAGTAAAGCTTCATATTAAGGCTACGCAGTTTCACACCAATTATTAAAAACCTGCTGAATTATTTGGCACCAAAAAGTCTTTGATGTGTGAGATTAAAAAAAATGTTCAAAATGGTAAAAATTGAAACAGATTAGAAGTATAAAACTACTGTATTTTTATACAAACATTTTCATGACATTTCAATTATTTTTTTCTTGGGGTGAAAACTTCTAGCAATACATCTTCCTGGTTTCTTACCTCTGTCTTCCCCGTGAGGGACAGTTCGTTGATTTTAAATGTCAACCTTAAGTAAAGGTACTTTTACAAAATGACTCAAATCTATTTTTCTTTTCAGTTATTGTTTGAAACAGTGAATTTAGAAAATAGTAAATTTTCCTGCTGCATTCATAGCACTGTGATGACAAACAACAACGCTGAGTCACCTATTCCATAATATACTCTAACAAAGCATCATATAAAAATGGTGATTAATCTTCAAACAGTAAATACTACATTAAAACCTCTGAAACTTTATTTATTCTCCTTATGACTATTCTTACAAATTCAATCTATAAAAACGTTCATCTTCAATGGTAACTGGTTTCTCAGAATTGTATTCAAAGGCCATTATTGCAAGTGATGCTGACTAAAACAAGTTCTATAGATTTGCCACCACTGCTGAGCCAAATGATGGAATTATTAGCATTCTAAGTGATGAAGGCCACTGAATATTGGTAGAGTTTAATACTGAACAGTATTTAATATCTACTAAATCTGATAAAGTTATGGGCATAGGCAAAAATCCAAAATTTAAATGCATAAGAGATATCTATAAGTACTTCTGTTAAAAGTGCTGTTATTGGTTTACCATACAAAGTCCACTCAGCTTCAACAAATTGTAAACGTTCCACCACTAACCATCAGTGCATTTACAGTGCTGCGGGTATGACAGGGATGATCACAAGGTCACTCACTACCTACAAACATTTCTTTCATTGCAAGAATACTAGAGAGGAAAAAGACTATGCAATTTAAATCTTAGGAAATGTTTTCGGTCAGTGAGTCTATTAAAGAAAAAAGCATCTCCAAGCTGTAACCTTACTATATGAACAGTTATCCTCTTTCAACTCTTCAAGTAACACCATGTATGTGTTGAAAAAAAAATACCAAACTATTAACATGTTGTGCAGAGAACTGTAAACTGGAAAAGTAAAATATATTTAGACAAGCAAGAAATACTTTCCAACAATTAGGAAAAAAAATAATTATGTTTTTAAGAGATTATTATTTTAGGGACTTGGTATTTTACCTCATATGCCTTGCATTATTTTGCATAGACGGTTTTCGTTGTTGTAATTAAGCTGGCACAGATTTAACATCAGCTATTTTTTTCTGGCAGTTTGGGGAAACGGAATCATCCTTCTAAACTCTTCTTCTTTCTGAGATTTTAATTGCTATGTTTCTATCTGAACTGCAGATAAAAGTTGTGATAGAAAAATGTGGTGCGACAAATTATCTGTGTGGGAACAGAAAGGGTGAAAAAGATGAGAAGGATGCTAGGACAATCAAAAGGAGGATATCTAATGTCAATCAGACACTCTGGTGGAAAACAATTCTGCGTCACTATCAACGAAGTGTGGTTGAAACCCTTAATACTGGAGTAAGTCACCCTCAGATCTATCTCCTGGTTCTAAAGTTAAGCTTCCTGTATCTTTTAGCATAGTAAAGTTTCAGTTTCTAGCTCCCTGGAACACATCAATTGCCATTAGGTAGATATGAACCACTGCTTTCAAATTTGGTTAAGTTGCTTTCCCTTTCTTTGCCAGGGAAGGGCTCAGTACCCCTTGGTGGATATGGGATGGGAGAGTGAGGAAGACTTCATGGTCTCTCTCTGTAAATAAGGCGCATTAACAATAGCAAACAACAAAAGAAAGCAAGCCCAACTCCCACTGTTTGGCTTTCTAACTCCACCAACTCCAGGAACCAAGAGTGTACTTCATAGCCTGCAAGAGCAGTCTTTTCTCACCTGTCCTTGAATTTATGCAAACCATTCTAGTGGAACAAGGCAAAATTAGACATCATTGCTCTGTTGCCTAAAATATTTAAGCTGATACATTTTCCTTGGCTGTCTACTGTGGGATTTAACAGTGTATGTAGGAGTTTGGTCTGACTTGGCTTGAAAATAACCCAACAAATTCCCACTTTCCTGTAATTTCTGCTATCCTAAACATCCCTATGCAAAATAGTATGTCACTACAGTAGTTTACTATAAAGATGCAGGATTGTTTTTCAAAATATATTCTCCTTTACATTCTCCATCTAGCTCTTTTTTTATATTTGATATCATCACTTTCCCTCTCTGAACCTTACAAAACAATTACCTTTCCTTGATGTTTGTCCATAATAAAACCCAGAGCACTGAAGCCACAAAGAAACTGGTAAATAAGCCAAAGGAGCTTCTAATATTTTTGAGTCGTATCCATGTGTCTCATACAAGTAAATCAATAAATCCAAATGGAGAATCACCATGCTTTTCCTCTTGACAATCTCTCAAGAATAAAGACTGGCCAAACATGGCTCAAGCACACGTATTGCCACCCAGAAGACTGCTGCTTCCTTCCACAAGGGGACATTATGAAGCACTAATCTGATAATGTGCTAAATTCTGTTATATCGCCACAGAGACACAACTTCTTTGTTGTACAGGCAACAGATTATGAAGTAATTCACCAAGTCTTTTATAAACTACATTACCCTATGAATTTAACTTTAAAATTTAGCCAGCCTCTTGAAAAAACAGAAATAGGTGAAGAACCTGCTTACACTATTTGTCAAATCAGTATCATGTAAAAGGATGAATGGGATTTAATCCAAATAGTAGCTAATAAACAAAAATCATTCTCATCACATGAAATTTGTATTCTAGTATACTACTTAAGACTTCAACCGCTCATGTAGCACATAGCTAAAAATGGGTCAAACAGTTTTTCGACTGATGGAAGGGCAGAGAAAAACTGTTTATTTCAATTCAAAGAAAGATGGTAACACATAAAAAAGCAACGTCTTTAACTAAATGGTAACTGGTATCTGTCCGAATGTTTAACAAGTCCTTGCAGCAAATAGTTAGGTACGACTCAGATGACTCTGTCACTAGTTCATTAAGAACTATCATAAAATGTGTTCAATAATTCAATTCACTAAGTAGCATGAGCTGTTGGTAGAGTGATGAAATACTGTGGGTGCAAGCTTCAGTCATCTGAGAAGTATAGTTAATCCTTTCAGCCACACACCCTGAAATACAGAGGTGTCAAAACCATAATTTATTTCCTTCTCCCACCCCAACTAATGGGATTTTTAAAAGACAGACCTTATACCTACGGACAGTGTATGGTTAGGTAAAATAACGAATAATTCCTAAGGGGCTTCATTTAGTTTGGCCTCTATTGATACTATGAGAATGACAGATACAGTACGAATAAATCCTGATTTAAGAATTCTGAGTTACGTCAGCCCACAGTGAACTGAATGCTATGCTCAGCACCTCCAGAACGTCACACTAACAGTTTCCCTTTCCTTCCAACTTCTCTAAAGGTGGTCAAGAAAACTAACCTACTCAGTGGCTGCTATTCTTTCCTATGTTCTGTCCATACCACAATTTCTCCCTTTACAGGTGTTTCCAGAGTAGTTTCTGCTGGGGAACCATGACAGCAGGGCTCCAAGGAAGCTGCAAGACCAAGAAGTGCTGCAGAAGCCAGGACCTTGAGGGTTTGGGACTAAACAGCCTGTGTGTGTACAGAAACTGAAACACACACACTCCTCAGCCCGAGGGAAACCAGAGTAATTCTCCATGAGACTCTCAAAAAATGTCTTTTCCTCTGGACTTTATGCTTTTCCTTTCCTGCTTTTTTTTTTCATTACGCAGTAATGAAAATGAAAGCATACAGATTTGGTAAAATGCTCTGAATAGTCTCTAACAGCTGGTCAGAGTGATGACACCAAGTTACAAGAACACCCCAGATGACTCCAGAGGGCCAATGCATGGAACATACCACATGTCTGCAAGGAGCAAGTGATATAGAATAAGCAGCATTTAGAACTACAGTCTTGAAATGCACTTGGCTCAGAAATGCTCCCTTGTTCTTCCCACTGCAGTTTTTCCTTCATCTGCTGGTCTGGGAAGACTGCTCACTCCTCTCCTGGTTAGCCTGTTGAGGGACCGACCCTGTCCCATTTTGCAGAAGCATACAACTGTCTGGGGCAGGATCTTGTCTCTCTCATGTGCATCATCCCAAGCCACTGCAGTACCTTCCTTGGGAGATGAAGGCAGATATGTAACAAAAGACAGCCCACAGTGTCACTGTAGTGATTTTCTGTTATTTGTGTAATGACACTTTTATTGTAAAAGTGGCTCATTTTCTGCCTTTCATGGACACCATTAGATATACTTACATAATTGCAGCTAATCACCACTAATCTTAATAAGGTTAAGCAGTAATTGTGACTGAAGTGACAGACAGACTGGCCAGTACTAAGGTTTGTTTGACCTTTCTTGACCCAAATATTGGAATTTGTCATACACCCTCAGTGATAGATGAGTTATTTTTCTATCTCTCTCAAGTAAATAAATCTCATGAAAGTCAAACTGTAATTTAAAAATGCATATAAACTTAACTCTCAAAAAGCATTATTAATAGCACTGAAGAAAATAGACTGCTTACAGATGCATTTAAATTGATGACAATTATTCTACATTTTAAATAAAACAGGCAGCAAATTTTTCACTAAAAGATGCCCTTCAGAGCATGAGTTTAATGCACTCTATGCACACTGACTTCACTCTTTTAATTGGTCATCCTTTCTCAGGGTGTGGTTTCATGTTACACTTAATCTGATCTTATTGCAGGCTACTGCTGAAAGAGGAGGTCCCAATCCCTCATCCTCCCCCTTCCCCTTACTCTAGCTTTGAGCAGCTGCAGAATGAGTCAGATCAGCTTCCTGATCTGACCAAAAAAAAAAGGGTATTTTTGGTTGGTTAGCAATTCTGACCATTCAATGAACCAATGCAAAGGATCCAAATCATTCTGTGGCCACACAATTGCTTCATGTCATACAAAGACACGAAGCTGGAAAGGAGGGAGAAAAGCCTGAACCTTCCCCTTCAGCAGTAGCCTGCAGTTGAATAGGTGAAGTATACATGAAACCGCTTCCTAAGGCTGCATTTCACTGGAAATAAACGAATAGGGTCATCTCAATTCCCACTGTCTCCCTCCCAGCTACACATTCCCACTGCTCTTGCTTATCAGACTCTTCTCTGAGCTGACCCTACACACCAAGCTGATGGAAAATTAACCCAATCGAAAAATCCCCCCTTCCCCGGTTTTCCCCATTCCTCCTCCGCTGCCCTGGTTCTCATCTGTTCCCGTGGTAAGGTAATGCATCCAGCTTACCCAGCAAAAAGCCCTTACTTTTTTTGTCAGGGTTAATCTTCTGCTGGTTAGAGTGCAGAGTTAGCCCTAGGCATGTTTTCAAGACCAAGAGAGAAAGAGAAAAGGGGACAGTCAGCAGCTGTTCATTTAGTTCAAAGGTGTAACATCGAAACCACAGGCTCTTGCCACTTCACTGTGAAGTCTGGTTAACTCAACCCACCTCCATCAGCGGCATGAGCTACAGAGACCATATTTGCACTGCAGGGGCTGAGGAGTACTTGGATGTTCTCTCTTCTGCTCTGGGGATGGGAGCACCAGCAGAGGTAATGGGGCAGGTCATTTAGAGGCAATAAAATAATAAACTACAGAAATAGTTTTCCTAGAATGTAAATTTGCCCTAAAACCAAAATATAACTTCACAGCCTTTCCTAGGCTAGTCCAAAGCTTAGAGAAAACTTGATATGAATTTAAAGATGGAAAAACTAGAGTCATCACAAAAGCTAAAATATTTTAGAAGTCTTACCACTGAAACAGGCTCCATGGCTTCTTGCTTGATAGGGACTGGGTCAAACATTAGCATCTTTTTTATTCACCTGTTCTGATGCCTCTGATGTCCTGGCCTGCAGGGGAAAGACAAGGTGTTAGAAAGCCACAGGAAACCCCCTAATCAACTTTCTGAACTGTAAAGAACTTACTATTTTGTCAGATTAATGTGAATATTTATCCATCTCTAACATAGCTTCTTAAATATTTGACTGGGCTTCATTTAAATATTTCAGTTATTGTAAGTTTGTTCTTTCCCAATTGCTATTGAAACAAATGAATATCTGCTCACTTTAATGAAAGCTAATTTGAATTTTTATTGTGCATGTCAGGACACCAAGATCACAGAATTGTCACTTTTATTAGCTGTCATTAGTGCGTAAACGCATCACAGTTTAGACTATGCATTTCTCATTGGCATTGTAACTTCAGAATAATCTTGTTTAGCTGATAATACAGTGAACTGATGCTGGAGAGGGTATCTCTTGTCCTGATAGAAAAGTTGAAACTTTCACATACAGTGACATTGAAATTAATGCAAAACAAAGACTAAAATCCAGGACTAATTTGGTGAGGTACATTCAACATGCTGCAATGACTTAAAATAAAAAATACATCAGTTATTTCTCTGAAATAATAGATTTAGTGACAATTCAACAACAAATTGTGCTAACTGTGCAAAAGAACAGCACTTCAAAATGTGCTTGTATTCTTTGCAGCTTCGTTTTTTTTCTACAGAGTGTTCAACCTCACTTGTCCAATTTTAGCTTATCTCAAACTCCCTGAAGTAAAAGTATTTAGCATAAAGCGTGCCATAACTTAACTATCAGACTATGCATTTGTCATGGTCAACTTGGAAAGATGCTGTGAAGGAAAGGAGGAGATACCTCTTCTGGGGTAAGCCGTAAGGGTACAGAGTAAAAACCAAGAGAAGTAAAGGGAAGTTGTTCTCAATGCCATTTAGATGTTGGCAAGCTTTTATAATGTATAACCTCAAGTGATGTATATAAGTGATGTTAAAGGAGCAAGTTCTGACCATACACTGTACAGTGCACAGCCCTGCCTGGAAGAGATATGACCTCTATTAAGATGTGAGGACAAAAAAATAAATTACACAAATTCAATTTTGACCAGTAGATGGCACTGGAAATAAACGAATACAGCCAGACTACACCATCCAGACAATTTCACCCTGCGGAAGTAGGCTAAAGGCTGAACAACAGATTTGTAGTTGGGGCTGGAAAACTCTCCCAGAAATTTACATGAAAAATTTAAGATGTACCTGCTCAAATTAAAAAAATTCTAATAAGCCTACACTAATGAACAATCTTGCAATTAACTATCATGTGTAGTTATACATAAAAATTTGTTAGGAGCTTCCAGAAAAAGATGGCATGAGTTGTTACAAGTCTATAATTAATTATTCAGGTATATGAATGAAGTATGGAAATATATTAAAACAGTGTACATTTTGAATAATGCAAACAAACAAGTATCGAAAGTAAATTAAAGTATCTTCATAATTCTTACAAAAGTCAAAGACCTGAAAAAAACAAGTTGCAAAAAAAAAATAAAGTGAAACAAATAGAGCAGCAAAATGCAATTTCCAGTTTAAACTTAACATGGTTTATTTTAGAGGCAGTTGTGTAAGATGGTACTAGTTGCTACAAGTTGTGGTAATTTTGTCAATACTTTATGTATGTCTGTGAGAAAGTTATTAACTATACTATTTTTCTTTGAATGGTTATCTTTTTCAGGTTAACATTACACATAGCTAGAACTAATGTTTCAGAAAACTGTTTTTCCAGAAATATATCCACATATCTATATATTGAATATATATGTGTGTATCTATGTGTCACTCCCACACACTCCCACACATATACATGCATTGTGAAAACAGAAAAAAAGTTATACTTTTAGACATAAAAAAATATTTACAGTAAAATGTAGCATCTCAGACCTCACATATAAGAATCTGGAACTACTTGCTTTCAGGTTTCCAGAAACTGTAATTTTTTAGTTTATATGTGCATAGATAAAGTGACACACCAATTTGTACTGTAGTGGAGGGAGGGAGGGAAGGAGGGAGGCAGGAAGGAAGGAAGGGGGGAGCAAGAGAAAGAGAGAGGAGAGGAGAGGAGAGGAGAGTAGAGGAGAGGGAAAGGGAAAGGGAAAGGGAAAGGGAAAGGGAAAGGGAAAGGGAAAGGAGTTTGTCCTAACCAAGCAGTCATGCTCCCAGGCTACTCCTTCTGCCATTTTTGTTGGTTTAGAATTGGATTTTCTTCAGTTTAAGAGTTACTCCTTTTCACTTTTTACTTCAAGGAAGTGTGTGAAAGACACTCAATACACATTTCACATGTCATGCAGTACATTTCAGCGTTTCCTGAGAGGGCTCTAAATTACTGTGCAGGAATTAGACTGACATAGACAACAGAAAGTGTAATGCCCTGAATAAAAGTGAAAATTAACTCTCAATCTTTCTCAGGTGCAGTCATCTAAGAACAGCAGAGGAAAACGTTACTTTTATTGCTGCATCATAGTACAGATATTGAGCACTTCTTTATCACGTTACTCTGAAGCAGTAGGTTTCTTTTCCTCATTTGATAGTAACTGGAAACCAATTTTCAAGAAAGGAAAATTAATTAATATATAACGCTTGGTCCTGTTGGTCCAGATCAGAGATTCAGATTCTTATTTGGTGGAAACTGACAGAGCTGCTATAGAATCAATATAAACCAGCTTCAGGTCTGGCATTTAAAATTTAGCTCACAAGGACACTTTCCTAAGGCTGCAAATAAGCTCACAAAACAATTCTCTTTGTATTTAAAAATAATGCTCCAAACTGATTGCTTGGGCCACATTCACAAACAAAATACATGTATGTGCCTTCACAAACAAAGCATGCTACTGCTAGTAAGAAGTCAGTAGTTTTTCCTGATCTCTTTGTAAAATCATGCCTACTAACTCAAAACCTCCCAATCGCGCTCTCCTAAACATTTCAGAAGGGGGCAACAGGGAAGGTAAACAGCCTTATCTGTTTCTATTACAGAGGAATGAAAAAACAGTTGGGTTCTACTTTACACACAGATTTCATAATGCACTTGTTTGAGAGCCCACAAATTGTTTAGTAAATACAACTAATTTCTGGAAAATCAAAATACTGCCTCTCATTCCTGAGGTACCCTGGAAAAAATCAGTGAGGAAGTAACAATACACTCATACTAAGTGTATTAAAAAATAAGGGCCTTTGTCTTTCACGTTATTAGATAAACTATTTTGCATGGAAAGGTTTTTTCATGTGGGTTAAAAGAATGTGAAACGCATGTAATCTGAAACGAAATAATTAACTACAATCCGGTAGGCAAACATTCCACCCTCTCTTTTTTTTGCTCTCCCTCTTTTTCTGCTAACAAGCCACCCAGTTTTACTTTCTTGCCTCCTCCCATTCACTCCACCCTGTGGATTTCTGCCAAGTCAGTCCAACTTGTCCAAACAGGACATGGCTTTTGATAAGATTGTGCTCACACCCTGTACTTCAGAAAGACAAATGAAGCAATGGGTTTTTGTATGCAAATAAGGACAGGTGCAAGGTAAAGTCCAGGCAAAATCCCTCTGTATTTTCCTATCTGAAGTCCAGTGAAGACAGCAAGCCAGAAAAAACACAAACTCTGCCCTTATGATCCAACAGGCAGCAAAGTATCCCTTCCAGAAGGGAAGTTCATCATCAGTAGAGCTCATTGCCTTGTCAGGATTGAAGACTTCTCCATATTAACTTCCTGACAGGTGTAGTTTACTGTTTCAGAGACATAATTAAGAGTAAACAAAAGCTTAAAGGTACTTGATGTGTATTCTGACAGTAAGGACTTGTACAGATTATTTACCCTGGATGAAACAAGCAAAGCTGTTCAAGAATGCAACCAGACTACACATCTGCACTGCAGAGCAGCTGGAGAAGAGCAACTGCATTGCAGCTGCTCCCAGCAGTTCTGTACATCTAGCTTCAAGGTCCACCAACTCTGCAGACCCGTTATGAAAGGAAAGGGTGGGGTGGAAGGCCAGTTTTGACTGTGCACATCCAACAACTTCAAAGCCTCCCTCTAACATAGAGCCTTTGCTCTCATTTAATACCTGGAAGAGCAGTCAGTGACCTGATTCTTGCTGCGGACAGGGTGGTGGTGACCATAAATTCTGCCTCTCTTCACCCTGCATGAAAGCACGCACAGGGTTTGCTTTCTCATTCTTTGTGCCTGGGGGAAGCAAGAGATGCTGCCCCATGGTACAGTGAGGCTTTGTCTAAAAGCTTCAAGGTATGATTGTTATTGTTGGTATAATTACAGAATAATGTAATGATATCTGCTAAATTAGCACCGCGTGAGTGCCCTCCGCAGAGACACTGCAGCTCTTGCAGCACTGTTGGTATCTAGCAGCCCATGTAAGTCATGTGGCCAAAGCTCTTAGGTCCAAGCCCTTTGGGACTTACACTGTTGCTCTGAAACTATTACTTCTTCTGCGAGCTTCGAGTCAAACTTCCCCTGATACTAAGGAGAAGTGATAATATCAGAAGACTCTCCACTGATGAAATCCAAAGGGTGGGGAGGTTTTCTGAACCTGGGTGAGAAGTCTTCTTCAGTGGAACCTTGAAAGAGAGTTTGGCAGAGAAAAAACAGTTTCTGAGAGCAGGATTCCCTGGAAAGGGTAGAAAAAAGTTTTCCAGGACTAGTAACAAGATACGTTTGCACTTGCTGTACTAGTTGCTCATCAAGACCTGAGTCAGCAAAAAAGTGTTTCTAAAGTTCCATTAACTTTAATGGGAAGTAAGCAAGCACTTAACTGCACTGGGCCCCAAAATAGCAGCAGGCAAAGAAACTCTCCAGCTCAGCACAGCAGCCAGACTCAGTCAAAGCGAGCAGGAACAGGGGAAGGAGCAAAAGTCCAAACACGGTGCTGGGGGAAGGGACCAGAGCAGCCAACCCATGAACAACAGCAGGCGGAAAATCATGAAGAACTAGTACACCAAGAAAACGTTTCACTGATAGGCAGCCTTCTGTGTTTGTTTATTCACTGGATTTCCACTGGGAAATGGTAATAACTGTTGAAAAAGTTAGAATATTGTGTAAGAAGAAAATGGTATGCAGGCAAAAATTTTCTGCTGAAAGTTTTACTTGGTAGGCATGAAGAAAAAGAATTTTTATAGGATTCTGTATTTCAGACTGTTTTTGCTTTTTATCGACTTGAAAATCTTTTACCTTCCTCCTTTCAGAACTGCAAGCAGGCTGAAAAATGTGGGGTTTTTGCAGAACTTGCGCATCCTAACTTAGCTGACATCACTTTGACCTAGAACTGCTTTGACATAACCATTTATCAGCTGTGTGGCAGACTAATCAGTATTCCTATTAAATTTATGGTAATACTGTTGCAGGCTCTTTGAAGCCACATGCCTGGAAATGGCTTTCTTGTATGTAAAAATCTGGGGCAAAAAAGTTCTTGCAGTGTGGTATTACGAAAATATCTTCTCTACCTAGGAAAAATGGAGCCCATGGAAACCCTGTTCAAGCTTCAGTTCTACATTTGCTGAACCTAAGGGAGAGAGAAAGAAAAGCTCTTGAGGCACCTCCATTAGGCAGTATTCTCCCTTATCAGGGCAGACTGCTGTCTGGTTTCCTGTCTCAAGCTACTTCTTAGAAGGAGAAACAGTCTAGAAAGGATAAAAGATCAGACTTTTGAAAACAAGTGAAGTATGTGGAATGGTATGATAATCTTTCCCTTCCAAACTGAACTTTTTTTGTTGTGTTTTTCTTAAGAGGTTAATTTTGAAGATAATTTAAAAGGAGAAATATAAATCCTCTATTTTTATTACAAGGGAAGAATGACAGAAAATACTCTGATGTAAAGAGTTCTGCTATTTCATGTAACCTATGAAACAGAGATTCAACATTTTTGATAGCATGGGAAAGAAGAAAAAAAAAATCTAATCCTAAAGAAAGAAAGTGTACATTTATGAATAATAGCCTAAATGATTAATTTGAATGAGGATTTGAATACAGGGCAAATGTCAATGAACTTGTATGTACCTACAGAAGTGGGGAAAAAAAACGGAGAAGAAGAGCTGGATAGTGTAGTGGGTACAAATGACACAGTGATCAAAGCAGCTTAGACTCTTTAAAAGTGGAAAGTCTGCCATGCCTTCATGGATCAGGTTAGTTTGCTGGTAACACACACTGACTGCATGATGGGAAGACCATGTGTTTGGTTTTTTTTCCATTTTGACTTAGTTTACTATTAAAAACCTGTTAGAGCTTTATCTTTCCATTTGGCTGGTCTACACTTACACTTCCTTCCCATGGGAGATATCAACTACAGCTACAAAACCTTCAAAGGAAGCCTCAGCATCAAGTGAATGCTTAACAGGGAAGGGTTAAATCTCTCCTAAAACCAGCTCTGCCAAACTTCATATTCTGGATTGGAAGCAGCTAGCCTTGGAATGAAAACACAAAGCTTCAATGCTGACAGCATGAAAGAACTCTAAAAGACCTCCTGTTAGCAATGTTAATTAATATTAAAAAGTTGGTTTACAAAACTATTATAATTTCAATCTCAGTCCCTGATTTTGTAGAACTTCTAGCTACAAAAAGGTATGAACCACAAAATTTACTGCATTTATTATAGACCAGTTTCCAATATTAAATGCAGTTAAATGCAACACTTTTCCTCTGTCATGGGAAGAAAAGATTAAATACATTTGAAATCCTGTGCAAATTACCAGTACCAGAATGAAGATATTTAATCAGGTTCTAATGGATAAACTCATCCATGATGTTCTAAAATTAACAGAAAAACAACTAAGTAAAAACAACTGAGAGTAACAAATGAAAATAATCAACTTACCAAAACTGTGTGGCCAAATACTTCTTGTTATCTGGATTTCTGAACAGACAAAAAACAAGTTGGCATAAGGATGTGCACATAATTCAGTAAAAAATATTTTTCACATACAATTAAGCCCTGAAAGAGGAAGTTTAAAGCATGTATTTCGGATACTTCTTAGAAGATACCTGCAGTTATCACAAACAGCTAACTTTTTGCATCCAAAAGAGCAACAGCAGGAACTAAAAGATTACTTAAAAAATGACTGAAATAAGAAATGAGTAAAATGAAAGGGTGAAAGTATTTCTGTGTGTACAGAAACCATGCATATTCTGCCCCATAAGTGACAGAGAAGAATAAACACTCCATCTTGCATTTTCATCTAGGGCCTGATTCAAAGCCCACTGAAGTTCATGCAAGTCTTTCTCTTGATTTCAGTGAGCTTTGGCTTGGGTCCTTTAGCTCTTCTTCTGTCAGATTCAAAGCAACAGAAAGATTTATGTTCCCTTTCTGAATCTCCTCGATATTTCTCTATGTCTGCCTGCAACAGGGTGGAGGAGAAGACAAATATAAGAACAGGAGTAAAAGGTTTATTTTTATGCAAAATGTGAGACAACCATACCTATTTATTCCAAAGAAAAGTCAGTCAGCAGTGCCTCATTTTCTGTCTTACATCTAGAAGACAGTGAATCTTCTAGTTTGTATAAGTAGAAAATATCTATTCCTTTTGAGATCTGGCAATACAAAGTGCTTACAGTGGGCCATTCAGGTTGGGTAAGGGCAGAAGTCAAAACCTTCTTACAAGTATGAGCCTACAGATGTGGATTCTCTTCTCACACTCTTTTTACACCAGTGTAACTCCGTGACTTTAACGGAGCTATTCCAGATCGGCTGATGAGCAAGCAAGAGCAGAAAACTGGCTCCTGACTTTCTGGAGACTTGAGTACAAGTTTTCAGCAAAGGGAGCGAAGCTCTCCAGTTCACCCCCATAACTATATTGGAGTTGAGGGCGTGCGTTAAAGGTTAACTTGGAAACCTCATTATGACATAACACAGGCATCTTAAGCAATCATGAGTGTGTAGAGACATGATAACTCATTGGGTGGGGATTGGGAGTTGAGGGGCAGTGACAAGGGGCCTGGACGAGGCTACCAATCTGCCAGAAAACAGCCTGAAACAGGAAAGAGCACCACATATGCCACTTGGAATGTGTGACGCAAACCCCAGCCTTGAAACAAAGAACAGGAAACAGCTCTGCTGGCTGCGCTGGGGAGAAAGCACAGAGAAACATTTAGGCGGCCCTCCCTGACCCTATATTCATGAGCAGCTGGAGTCTTTTAAAACAACAACAGTGGGTGGAGGTGTTTGTTCATTGGGTGTGAATAAAAACACTGTCCTTATGCAGGGACCTGCCCTATTTACAAACAGGCTCCCTTAACATAAGGGAGCAGGAGATTTTTAGACACCACAGGTCATGACGATTAGCTGAAACCTTCCCTAGGACCAGTTGGTTTATTACTGTATTTACAGAATGCCAGTAGCTAAAAAGAGCTACAGCTTCATGACATCAAACAGGCAGCACCCAGCCTGACAGTAACACCTTCTTCATAGGCAGAGCTAGGGGGATGAGACCATTGCAGGAGTGATTTGTAAAGCTTGGGGTTGCTCTTGGACAGTGTCTCGCCTTTGTTCCGTACTGCTCAATAGCTGAGGACCAACATCTCTCAGTGTACCCAAGCATATTTTTCTAAGCTGCCACATGCTTAGCCTTCTACATACTTGTTTCGTGTGCACTCAGATGTCATCTCAGGACCTGATTTTTCGTGGATATAATGCTTTTATTTTTGAAGCATCCAAATATACAGCTGAATAAATGAAAAAAGCTGACGACATGAGGCAGAGGAAAGGCACATCTTGCCTAGATGTCATGCAATAGAATAACTTCAACATTCGTTTTCCTTCAAAGCCAGGGTTTCAAATTCTCTTCTCTTACATACTTTGCATCGGTTATTTATATACCATGGGTGGGACATCTAATATTATCCAATGTGAGAAAGCATTACGGCAAATTATGTGGACAAGCACCACAGAAACACTCCTAATTGCAGTGAGGTTTCATGGCTGAAGTTTAACAACCACATGAGGTGACAACCAGCCAGTACAACATCTACACAGCAATGTGTAGGTATGCCAATAGTATCGGTTTCTTACTTTCTTTGTACGGAATCTGGAAATATAAGTAATTTGGTGGTTGTATAACTCCCATCTCTATTATCTCAGAGTCTTTGATTAATCTCACTCACATTTACATCATTATTTATCTGAAGACTTTTGCTTTTGGCTAAACAGGTGTTGCCTAGGCCAAATCCTCACAGTACCTAAGAGCTCCCTCACAACTCTGCTACTTAGACGAAATTTTGCAGTTTCTCAAGGAAGGGAGAGATCATTTAGTATCTTTTTCTTTTTCCCTGCCTTTACCCCCAGTCTCCTTGTGGTCTATAACATATTTATGACAGGGTGTGCTAGGGGCAGGGGGAAGTATTTGCCTGCTTGGGAAAAAATAAAAAAGGCCACTCAAGTCAGCTTCAGGTTTTTTGTATTGTGATACTAAACAAAATATTCTTAAAAATAAAAGAGGAGAGTTAGTGTGAAGTAAATCTCTTCTGCATCAGGCAGGATTATCAAATTCAGATGTAATGCCTCTCACACAAGAAGCAGGTCCTCGTGCAATTATCAAGACAGTGTATCTTAAAAGTATACTATGGAAAAATCATTAGTGGGCAGCAGTGTAATCCTTTGTTTTCAATACAGGTAATAAACATTTATGGTTATTAGTTTAAATAAAGTCAAGTCTTCAAAGCTCTCCTATCAACCACCCAAATTCAGCTTTTCCCAACAATAAAACTCTGAGTTCAGCTCCACAAACAGTGACACTTCCTGAATTTTCAAAGGCAAGGAAGCAAATAAAACACAGCAGACAGTGCAGGTACAGTACCCGAATCATCAGGGCAGTACACAAAGCTACTTTAATGTATTTTTTTTTCATGTAACTCTTGAATGACCACTTGAGCTATTCTGAAATAGTCCTCCCAACCTCTGGTTAGGTGCTGTGATCTCCCAGCATGGGCTCCTGTTGCTGAACCTTCCTTTTCCAGGGCTCCCCCAGCTGTGCCAGGTGCTCACCTGACACAGGTCCAAAGCAAATAACCCCTATTCCCATTTCGGCTTTAAAAAAAAATAAAATATGGCATCCAGAAACGGAAGCTAATTACGGTACTTATTTCTAACTCCACACTTAACTGCGGTGCTGTCCTAGGCACTACGCGTTTCAACTTCGCCTACATCACGGCTAAGGGGTGCTAAGGTTAGATGACAATACGAGGGATACGGTTTTGAGAGCCGGTCTCATCCTTGACTTCAGCGGGAGTTAAACTGGTGACGCGACGAGCTCCTGCCCCGGTATCTCCCCCACCGCCCTCAGAACCGAGGAACCCCGCTATACTTTTCACCTCCGTTTCGTCCGGCACGATATCCCGTGCGGGATCCGATGACATTTCAGTCTCTAACCGA